CGTCGGGGGAGTGTTTCCCTTTTCTTTTTTATTCGAATTCGGGACACTGTCGATGGCTCGGGGAAAAGAAAAAAAAAAATATAATAATTTACTTGGGGACAGGTTTGCTGATAGATGCAGGACTTTCTTTGCCGATTGATTAAAGGTGGATCCAGGGCGATGCATTTTTTATGAGGTCAAGCGAATCAGAGCTCCGTTTACGATACACGCGTACATATTACACGCACACTTACACCGCAGCTGACAACTTATTGTCTACTAAGTAATGATAGCCTCGTATACATATAGCCGATTGCATATATCTATATTTTAGTAGAATTTTGATAAGCCGACCACGCGCAAAGCCTTCCTGATTTGTCCCTGACCTTGCCCCCTCCACCTGGAGGAGGAAAAATCAAAAGTGCAAGAAATGTCGGCTGGACGAAATCCGCTGACAGTGTTAAATGAAACGGAAAAAAAAAGAAGAAAAAAAAGAGAAAGGAAAGAATCAATTGTATATAATGTTACGGGAGAAGACTGTCGAAAGAAAATTCGAATCACTTTGTCTAGTCAAAATTGCTCCTCGCCGAGGATTCCGCGAGGCGAGAGGATATTTTTGTTAAGCGACTTCTCGGGAATTTCATAATTTTATAAAGGTAGACGAGGGAGTCTCGCGAAAGGAAAGTGTCCGATGAAAGTACTTAACGTCTTTCCGGGACGATGTTCAAAGTCCTCTGGTCGATTGGCTTAACTTCTTCCCCGTAGATAATTTTTTTTTTTCTTGCTTTCCTCTCCCGCTTCGACTGGCCGTGGAAAACGCCAATAGACATTTGCGAACGTTAACTCAGGAAGGCTTTATACGAACCCCGAGGAATAAACATTAGATAGCTAGGGCCTGTCGTATCAATCCTAACATTTAGTAAGCTGGAGACAACAGCCACTATTTGCAAAATACACACCCACACACGTATACACACAGACGAACACACACGCGTGTGCACAGACTCGTGGTACATTATATTTTACAGCAGAGTAGAGTGAAAGAGAGAGGGAGAAACGGTGTACAAAGAGTGAGGAAAACGTGCATGAATATATATATAACAAAAAAAAAGGCAAAACAAAAAGAATAAGAAGAAGAATAAAGTCGCACACCGCGGCGGGATTTGAACACGAGGCGCACACGACACACAAGTATAGGTAGGCTATGATAGTTTAAAAAGTAGGATATATCGAATTAATTGCTCTCCGATCCGCACGTGCCCAAAAATAAGCCAAATTGCGTCGAGGAAGGAGAAGAAGCGTCGGGGGAGTTTGTCGGAAACGCAGGGGCATTTTTTAATTTCCGAGATTTTTCGGACGCGCAGAGGTGCCACTTTAGAGGAGAAAAAACGCCAGTTTAAAGATGGCCGCGTCGATATTTTTCTATGAGTGGTCTGGACGCACCTCGCCGGACCGATGGGAACCCTTTCCGCGTCTTCTTTCGGTCCGTATCTTTCCGCAATTATTTACAACGCACGTACGCATCAGAGGCATACTCGTAGAGGAAGGGGGAGAGCCGAGGAACACATCCGGAGTAAGACTCGAGGATTGAGAGAGGAAGGACGAAGCTTTAAATCACGTGAATATAATTGAGGATACAAGTTTTTCTAGTAGTCGAAACCGAAAGAACTGATATAATACTTAAGCGTATAGGCTATCGAGGAAATTGACACGCGTGGCCGACTAGGAGGGGAGAAGGGAGAGAGAGAGAGAGAGCAAGGAACAAAAAGTGGGAAGGATGGATAATAAACGGAATGGCCAAATACGCGAATATCCGCTGCGAGGGAGCGCGGCGCCTATTATTACGAGGATAATAAATTATTAATGAAATTAATATAAATCGAGGAGAATATTTAATTACGAATTTGTAGATGTCTAGAGTTTTATATTCTCTGTATGTCCGTCGTCGGTCGATTTTTCTAATAAGATACAAGACTCGAGATTTGTAATTGTTTTCGGAGGTATATATATATATATACATATATATACAGACGTACGTATATATGTATATATAGAGAGAGTAAGAGAGAAAGGCGGGAGAGATAACGAAAAACGCGACCTATCGCGAAGTGACAAGGAACTCGGATGTACAGTTGAGAGAAATCAGAGTATATATCTACATATAGATGTATATACGGTATCGATATGTCGCGAAAGTGATAAGGGCGCGACGAGGGTGGAGGAAAGGGAAATTTCTAAGGCCCGGGAAAGTTGTTTCGCGGAGGTCTCGTTGTTACTTCGCGGGAGCTCGGCAGAGGATATGCAATGATATAATAATATATTTTANTATATTTTCTTTCTTTCATATTTTCGCGGCACTTCGACTCGAGCTCCTCCCGCGAATGTCCATTTTCTGCATCCTGGTGCTTTGTTAATTGGAGGACGCTCGGTTTGTTAATTATGTTATTTATTCCCTCGCCCCGAGGCGAGGTCGTCGATTCGTGTCCATTGGCATGCAGGACTGTTAATTCTAACTCTCCTATCTGTGTATTTTTTTTTTTCTATTGTTCTTTCATTTTATTAGAGGAAGACCCCTTTTCATTTTTTTTTCTTCCTCTATTCAATCTACTTCCTGTCGAAGAGAAAGACTGAAAAAAAGGGAATGTCGAACGTGGCAAGACGGGATCCGAGACGATTCGAGTCCTTAAAATGTAGGTATACGAGAGTAAAGATTATATGTATGTCTATATCGAGATTATAAATGATTGTTTTTTTTTTGTTTTTTTTCGGAACCCGGAATTTTGGCTACAGGTGGGACGCGCATAAGTCGGCGAGACGAGGAAAGGGGAGGAAAAGTCGATCGGGATTTTCCGCAAAATTTCCTCCCACCTGTTGCCCGAATTTCAACCACGACCAGCCGTCCGCGGCACGTCAGTCAGACTGTATTGGACTGATTCGTCATGTACTACTTAATTAGTCGATTCTGATTGGACTGATTCCCGTATTTGACTGATGTTACCAAAACTCCTTACTAAAAGTACCTTGAATGAATTAAGTTAATCGGAAATCGTTGACGGAGGCGCACTATCGAGCGAGGCACGGCAGCCATTTTGGTACCGACCGCAGGGGCGGTAGATCATCGAAAAGAGAAAAATTCCCCACCGCCGGAGATATTTTTCCCAACAGTCCCGCAAATCCTTTATCAACGTCCCTTACATTTTTCCACAATTTCCCCATTCCGCGTCCTTTTCCGAATTTTGATAATGTCCTTAATCGATGATGTACCACCTCGGCGGCGTCGGTAGACTCCGGAACGTTCGTCCGCATCGAAAGTTTGGGTCGCGAGTGCAGTCTGTGGCTCAAGATTTATACGGAGGGGGGGAATAAGGGGAGGGGGAGGGAATATCTCCTAAAAATGCCCAGGATTATTAGTTGAAGCTTCATATTAACGGATTTAATCTAGCATCGCGTAAGCGAGAAGACTCCTGGTCTCCGGAACCGCGCGGCCGTGGGTCCGCCGAAGACAAAATGGCGGCCCCTCGTGATATCCCTTCTCGTCAGGAAAAGCTGCGACTTCGCGGGAAATCTCGCGCGGTTCCGGAAATCCGGTCCCGAGATGAGGGGTTGCATGCACCCCACACACACAGCAACACTCAGACACGCACATACAGCACATTTCATTTCCCATAAATAATCAATAGTGACTACATAGTAGTTAAACGGTAGACTAGACACCAGAAAAGGCCGCCATGTTTAGTTGTGTGTTGTTTTTTTTTCTTTCTATTTTCCCTTCGTTCTCTGCCGTACAATAGCTTAGCGATACCTTAGGTTCTAATTTTACTTAACCAACCCGACCTTCTTTTTTTTTTTTTTTTTTTCTAACGGTGGGCGCCATTACGCATAGTGAATCCGGCAGAGCATAAGCGACGCGTCGGGCAAAGGAAAGGAGGAAAACTGGGAAAAGAGAGAAAGCGAAAAGAGGCACTCGTACCGCGCGCGAGGCGATAACGAAAAGGAGGGAAAAAAAGCGGAAAAAATAAACGGAGGAAAAGGTGGAGAGAGAGGAGAGAGAGAGAGAGAGGTACTCGAGAGAATCCGGGGGAAGAATATCGGTGGCGGTTCGATTCCGGGATCCTTTTTTTTTTGTTGGTTTCTCCGCACTCTCGAGGAAGGGCGAAGGAAAGGGATGGGGAGAGAGGGAAAAAAAAAAAGAAGAAGAGGCACTGCTCGCGCGATTCGTTTTCCGTGACGAAGTTGAGCAACATCTTGCGTTATCTCGCTTGGATATTATTTGTTATCTGCCAAGGTGTTCTGGTTATAGTATATATTTATTGTCTATTATTAATATTATTAATTATTGCTATATGATTAATTTTTATTGATTACTAGCCTGTAAGCCACACGAAAAAATGCATTTTAATATATTTTCATTTTTATATATTATGAAATGTAACTATTTGGTTTAATAATTCCGTTGTCTTGCTTTCTTTCGTTTCTCACTAGATATTCTGTCGCATCCTCACGGACGAGCCCCGGGCATTCGTGTGTGTATGTAGATCCCGGTGTACAGGGTGACTCGGAACGGGCGAAGATCCCGATTTTTAATTTAATTCACCTTTCCTAATCGACGTATTTTTTTGGAATAATTTTCGGAAGTCGAAATCCAGAAGCTGAGTCACCCTGTAGGACCTCGCACTAGCTTAAGGCCGCGGAATGTCTCGATAAACGTCCTCTTTTTTTTTTTTCAGTGGCAAGGTAAGTTGTGTCTTGATTGTTTGCGAACGACCTCATTGTCGATGTGTGTTGTTCCCATTGTGACGTCAGCCATGAATTCCCATCTCTCGATGTCTGCGAATTATGCAAGGTACTCGTGTAGCCCTCCGGTGTTTGTAATCACTCCGAAGCTGTTATCTCACATCCCGCTTCGGTTGAGTCTCGGCCAGTCAAATGGCGAGTTGCCTGTCGAAATTGTTCCCCGATTCGGTCGCGATTTCACGCCCGTGCACCGAAAATGGAAAGAAAGAAAAAAAATTGGAAACCGATTTGCACGACACAGGTGGATCGGAAGAAAAATGACCCACGGGTCGAATCATAAATCCGAGGTTAGGGTGGCTGACTTCCGGCGGTTTTGACCCCGGTTCCGCACTCGGGAAAGTATTCAGACCCGCGGGAAATAATTTCTCGAACGTAGAGCGCAGCGCCCGAGCGGAGACTTCAATGGCCGCAGAGGAAGGGTCGGCGGAGGTCGGGGAAAATGGCGTTTGATATTCCCGTTGAAAATTTCCCGAGTGCGGGGATCCTTAACCCGACCAATTGTCCCGTCCGAGAATCCGGGATCGTAGGCGGGGATCGAGAAAAGAAGCTGCCAAAGATCCCTCCCGGTTCGCGCGCCGCCATTTTGGTACCGCTCTATTCTTCCCAGCCGAAGACGCCGGTGGCGCTGAAAGGAGCCGATGGCGCATGGCGTCGTCGCCTCGGTGCATTCCGGTCAATGGACTCGGGACAAAAAGTATCTGAAAGGGGCAGGAAACAAGGTGCGCCCCAGAGAGTCAAACCCCGAAGACTGCGTGCCTTAAGTGTCGCGGGAGGTTCATCGTCTTCCGCGTTCTCCACCTTTTGTCGGGGCTCGATGCCCCCCGAGGTGCCCCACCCACTCGTCGTTCCTTTCTTCGACTTCTCCGAGTTGTCCTAACGAGGTGAAACGTCGTCGCAATTTCTTCAGGACCCCTCTGGAAGCGCGACTCCTGCGAGCGCGTCGTCCGGACAATCCCTACACCTTAAGCGACAATCATCGGCGACGCATTCTTCCCGGATTTAACGAGACGCGACTCCGAGAAATTGGATAAAGAGTCATTTTCCTAGGGGACAAAGGCTGGGGGAAAACAAGGGCCAGTCGGGAGTCGTACCCCTGGACCGCGGTGATACCCTCGATATCGTCCAGTCCGATAGTTCGATGGGTTCCGATACTCGGTCCATGTCTTCGTCCGCTCATTTTCGTAATGCCTCTTGGCACACAGCCTCGAAATTTCACTCCCGTCATTGGAACTCCTCGATATCGTCACTCTCGGTTCTCCTCCCTGCCCTCTTTTAGTCATTTTCGACTCCATCAGGACTCCGGGCTAACGAGACGTCCTCTATGCGGCCATCTCGCCTCGGCGCACAATCCCCCGCCTCGAGGACCCCCCGGGGTTTCTTTTTAGGCCATTAATGAGACGCGACTCCGAGAAATTGGATAAAAAGCAATTTTCCAAAGGGAGCTGAATAGGTGCGCCTTGGCCCGCGTCGCGACGACTCCGGGAATAATATACACACCCGGAGTATTCCGCAGCTCCTTCAGCCGTCGACTCCTTCGTTGGCAGCTTCTTTTAATTAACGCCGAGCCGAGCGGATAAATGAACTGTCCCCTCTTTATTGACGTTTAATTCGTGCACACATTCAGCCCGGCGAAATGGGGGAACTTTTTCGCAGCGACGACCCCCCCGACCAGGCTCCATTCAGGACTCCTGCGTCGCCTCCTTCAGCTCCTTGCAACTTTCCTCGGGGATCCGGGATGAAGGGACGTCCTTCTCCGGTCCAGGAAGAAACTTGCCGATTCATCGGCTGGCTCCTTTCACGAGGCCCCCCTCCGGATCTTTCAACCATCTTCCCTGCAACTTCCCCGGAGTCCCTAGACCTCGACTTAAAATCTTCCTTCGAGTTATCCCAAGAAAGGAGCCCTCCCCGGTCCAGAGGTCGCGATCCTTGTCTCGGCATCCCTCCCCCGTATATCGATCAGGATCAATCCCGAATCCCCCGGTACCATCGTCCTCTATCAGCGATTCCAGGAATCGATGAGCAGGTTTTCCAGGAATTAAACGGCCGCCGCTTCAGGTGAGGACGCGTAGACGGAAAAGAGAGGGGAGATAACAGAGAGAGAGAGAGTGAGAGAGCGAATATCAGGGGTAAGCGGCAAGAGGACGAGAGGGGGCGAAGTGGCGGATTTGTGGAAAGACTAGAGCAAGGTAGACAGAGGGGCTGAGGGTAAAGTAAAGGAGTAAGGGGGCGGCGGGTAAGTTTGGGGTGCTGCATGAGGTGCATTGTTGTGTTTCAGTGCTCGCCTCCATGCCAGGGCTGACATTGAACTCGCTGAGCACCCCGTCGGCCAAGAAGCTCTTCACCTGCCAACTGTGTGGCAAGGTACTTTGCAGCAAGGCATCCCTGAAACGACACGTGGCGGACAAGCACGCCGAGCGACAGGAGGAGTACAGATGCGTCATCTGCGAGCGGGTCTACTGCTCGCGGAACTCTCTGATGACCCATATCTATACCTATCATAAGAGCAGACCCGGCGACATTGACATTAAGTTCTTTTGAAGGTTTAGATAAGGTAGGGCTCTAGTCCTAATTCGAATGCCTGACGCTTTGCCCATCGGCCACCGTCAACCACCCGGTGGGCCGCGTCCATCGGCTCTGGTCGCGAGGTCTGTTGGTCCTTGGGCCTTGGAGAAAAAAAATTCGGGGTCGGGAAATGTGGACCCTCCTTTTCGGGCATAGGAGATTAACGGCGACTCGAGCGATGGGCGAGATCCATCCGTGGAAGGTGCCGATGGGAACCGAAACGAGTTGCGGTCTCTCAAGTCGAGCTGGACTCTTAACTTTCACCTTCTTCACTAATTCTCTTCCCAGATCGAGGGAACCCGTTCCTTCCCGTTCCCCGGGTTCGATCTCGTCCCTGGCTTCGTTCTTTCTCCCCCTTCGCGTCTCGGTTCCAAAATGCCGGAACCGCCGGTGGGTCTCCGGGGTCGTATTCGGTCGGCTCTTGGCTCCGAACTGAAAACGTAACTCGCCATTGAGCACGTGGCCTGGACGATGATCCGTTGGGCTTCCGGGGGTAGAACCGCCCGAGTCGGTTCCGAATTGTCCGCGATGCCTCAGGATCCTCGACCTACCTCAAGCGTTCCCTTGGCCGTGATCCTGGACGGATCTTCTGCTGCACTTTCGGTGGTGGGATCGCCCGACTCGGGTCCGACTCGTTCATGGTACCTTCCTCAGGGTCCTTGTCTCATCTCCTTGAGCATCGCGTCCCCGGCTTTCGTCTTCTTCCCCCCTGCTTGTGTCTTCTCTCCTCTGCTTTTCGTTTCCTCTTCCCTCCCACCGCTTTCGATGTTCGATGTTGTTTGCATGGCTCGTTTATGTCGTTCACTAAATCTGTTCTTTCTTCCAGCCTGCGTGCACTTCTTCTTCCGTCGGCTCTCCCCGTTCCTAGCATGCGCCCCGCGAAACGCAATGTCTCACTCGTATCTTTTCGACTCGGAAGGCGGATCCAGCGAGAAGGACGCGATCGTTCTAACTCGACTAACCTCGAGCCCTACCGAGGGCTTAAGAATTCCCCTTCTGCGAGATTGATAACGCCGATAACTCCGAAACTCGCCTTTAGGTGGAAACGATCGAGCCGATACTTGTCCCGGAATCCCTTTCCCAGGATCCCGTTTCCAGATTTCCCCTCTTGGACCACTCCTAGTTCCTCACGAGGCATGGACACGAGTAGGTGGTTAGGTGAACCAGGTCGACGTGGGGTCCGGAAGGCAAAAAAAGATAACTCCTGGGGGACGGACCCGGAGACCCAACCAAATTGGCAGTGCCTTGATCAACGCGTCGGACGCGCCGAGTTGATTCGTTCGAATTTCTTTTCATTTTTTCATTCCTTAATTTTGTGGATCTTTTAAACCGCGCCAAAAATCACTAGGAGGTGTTTTGCCTAGGAGGTTTATCGGTGTTAGTTTTATGACGTGGCTAATCGGGGACCTCTTCTAGGTACGGGCAATGGGATGCCCCAGCCGGCGACGCTCCCTTCCGCGGTGTACAGGATGCCACCGCCTCCAGCCGGGGGGATCAACGAGCCCCAGGAATGTCCCTACTGCCGCCGTACCTTCTCCTGCTACTACTCGCTGAAGCGCCACTTCCAGGACAAGCACGAGCAGTCGAACACGCTCTACGTCTGCGAGTTCTGCAGCCGGCACTACCGGACCAAGAACTCCCTGACGACGCACAAGAGTCTGCAGCATCGCGGCTCGACGGGGGTGCTTAAGCGGCTGCTGAAGACGCCGGCCATCAAGAGCGTCCTGGCCCAGCATCCGCAGATGCAGCAGCACCTGCACCATCAACGCCAGCAGCAGCCCCAGTGAGCCAGCTGGAGCCACCTGGGGACTCGTCCAGCATAATCGGCAGTCAGGACTGCGGAGATCGTGCTGGACCAGCTGGGAAGTTCCTCTCCCAGCTGAACCCGGAAGTGTCTAGGTGGTGGGACCTAACCGGAGCGAAAAGAGGTCCCTGACGACGAGCATCACCCAAGGCCCCGGGTCCAGGGTATTTCGGTTCCCCAGGGGGTCCCGTGATCAGCTGGCAGGACCTCCCGAGGAGCCGATCAGGGACCTCCATGAGAGGTAGATCCTCGACCTCGGTCAGGGTCCACGGTCTTTCACCTGCGGCAGGGTGCCGAACCTCCGGGAATGCCACGCGAGATGGACCACTTTGGTCCATCCGCTTGGGTGGCTGTCGTCCTTCCTGGGCGACCGGGTCTCCGATAAGGACGATACGGACGATAGGGTGGCGCGAGCGATGCGCGAGCCAGACTCCGATTCCGATTCTCGACTCCGTCGTATTTCTTCACGAAGACTGCGTTTATCCAAAGATAAGGGGACTGCTAAAAATCGACTGAGAAATTTTTAGGAAGAAATTTGTTTTTTTTTTTCTTGTTTCATTTCTAATTTTTTTGTTTCCTTTTTTTTCTTCGTTTTAACTTTTAAGTTCCTTGACCAAAAGGCTAACCACCGAATTGGATACATTCCATGCAATTTGGGGAAGGGCGGCGAGGGTGGTGCGGAATTAGCTGGCGGTCGATGGATGTCGGTAGATATCGAAATCCCTGATAACTGATACTGGGTGAGAGGCTCGAGGACGGGTTGAACGAAGAAAACGCAGATCCTCGAGTTTGTCTCTCGACGATACCGATATCGTTCTTGCCGATGGAATCGACTTTTTTAGACTCTTTTTGCCTGACGGCGCTCATTCTTGTCTTCCCGAGCTCTTAACGCGGCAGACTTCACTTCCTCGTCTCGTATCAGCCGTTATCAGGGAATCGATCGCTCGCTATCGATCTCGGGGACCGCTCTCGCTCGCCCGACTGTAAGGGATCGTTATCATATCTGGATTAACATTGGACTGTAATTATTTAATTCGCAACGAAGGAGACTGGACGACCGCTCGAAGTCGACATATTTTCGATAATTATTCTTTTCTTCTTTTTTTTCTTTTTTTTCTTTATTCCTGCAAAGAAAAGCCGAGACGTCGTCGGTTTGGAGTGAACGCGACGCGGGAAGAATCCGCGAGTTTTTCCCGGGAGATTTTTCCTAGGGAAGATCTGGGGGAAAAATGCGGACCAGAGACGAGAGCGATTATACGAATTTGCCGGCTCCCTTGACGCCGGGACTCATGTATTAAGGTATATATGTACATTCTGTACACATATGCACGCCGCCGCGTGTGAATCAAGAAATATTATATATATATATATATACATAAAAATATATATAAATCTATATATAGTTAAGTCAAGAGAGAGAGAATTAAGGGTCGCGGTTATTGAATCTTAGGCCTAAATGGAATTCGATTACAAATGGTGGACGAGCCCTGAGGACGAGATTAGTTATGCTCAAATTCAACAAAGTCTCACGAGTCGAATACAAAGGACGAAAATTATGCGCGAGGCGAGAGGGTGGTATTTAGGGTAGGCGTATATACATACATAAATTATACAAAGTTAAGTAATGGCGAGAGAGGCGTGTGCACAAAGACGCGGACTCAAAATGGCCGCGCGAGTCCGATGCGCGAGCGCGCGATTCAAAATGCCGCTCAGATTGCAGACTATATTTTTAACTCTTTAAAAGTAATATTTTTAACTGTATATAGGATATATTCGTACGATACTAACGACGATACTTCTCTCGTTCAGGTTTTATATGTAACGCACTCCGACGTAGTTAGCCCTCCGAAAGTAGAGGAACGGTGGGAACGGCTGGTGCGCATTGTTAATTAATTTATATATATAAAAAAAAAGAAAAACCGTGCTTATGATTTCCACGTCCGAATTTGGCATTTGGTAGCTAGTCAGAGGGTTGCGTAGAAAATGAGATCCGACTGAATTTAACGGACGTTTCCGAGAAAAGAAAAGGATTTTTTTGGCACGCCGGCGCACGAGATGGCTCCCACGGTTCGCCTAGAGAAAAGGAAAAAAAAAAAATAGTGAAGGTAAAACCACACACACACACACACCCCCGTACCAACGAACGTACAAGTGAAAGGAACCCTAAAAGTTGTTCACCGCAACGTATTCAGGTCTTAAGCTCAGCGTAGAAACAAAAGAGAAACTAAATGGATTAACAAGAGGCGAAGACAAAGAAACAATGAAGAAAAAGAAAAAACAGATGTCGATGTTCTATTGATAAGGCGCATATGGGAAATGCCATTACGACTAAACGAGCAAGTACAAATTACTGACGAAAGGTTACGTCTACGTCTATCTTAGGTGTCCCACTAGCGGAGATGCGAACTAAAAACGAGGAATCACGTTTGCTTGCGGGAAAAAGACACGCCGGCGCTCGGCGAGACTCGCGTCCGTTCGGGGCGGCCATTTTGAATTGCAATTTACAGTAAGAAAGAAAGAAAGAAAAAAAAAATACTATCCATTGCTTTTGCACTTTCGCAATTTTAATCTAAGCCGGGACACGACTGGCGACATTATCGAGGCCACCTCCAACGGCCAACCTACAACCTATATTAGGTCAGGTTGCCGAAACGGTCGCGAAGTTCGCCCAGCGCCAACATCTTCGAAACATATCTTCTAAACACGAGGTATACATCGGAATTATACATTAGCGTTAGATGGTCTCCTCGCCGCCTAGGGGATTTCTTCTCTTTGGCTCGCGGCGAAATCCCCAGGAGAAAGGAAAGCGAAAGGTTGAAAATGGCGAAAATACCTCGCCCCAGGGCCGGCCGATCCGGGCGAAGGGCGTCGAAGTAGCGTCGGAGAGGCGTCGAAAATCGCGAGGCGTCCCGGGACGGGCTCGCTAGTGAAATTGAACCTAGTCATTTTTCGGAAACTTCTGCGATTCTGTGATATAGAGAGAGCGAAAGAAAGAGAGAGAGAGAGAGAGAGAGAGAGAGCGGGAGAGGGACTTTAACGAGCGCATAAGCGAGACGCCCTTCCCCGGGATGGCGCGAGCCCTGCGGGGGTGGAGGGAAAAAACACGAGATAGCTAAAAAGAGGAAGGGAGAGACGGAGAGGGAAATCGGTAATTACATCGGGAAATTCTGTGATGTCCTTCGGTATATGTGTGTCCAGGGGGATGGTGTAAAAGTAGAACCTTCGGTATACGGAATCGATGTTTGGTGTCCTCGAGGAGAAGAAGCGGGGTCCAAGATGGCGGCTGGCCGGGGAGGGCGGGACGTCCGCGTAGGAGGTTAGCGTAAAATTAGAGAATGCGGAAAGAGAGAACGATAGAGATAGAGAGAGAGTGAAAGCACGGGAAAAGCGGTAGAGGAAGAACGAGAGGTGGCGAGTTTCCAAAAGACTGCGAAATTTCGAGCCCCGGCTCCGAATCGGTACGATGCCAAAGTAGATCGACTGCCCCCTTAGTACCCCCTTGTCCCCCCGATTTTGAATTTAAGCGCGTGACCAAAGTATTCGCCAAGTAGAAATGGACGTCCCCGGGTCCCTGGCCAGCCGTCGAGAGACCGGATGTAAATGTTAGTTCAAAAAAAAAAAAAAAACGTGGTACAGGTTTCATCGACATATCTTTCCAGGGTAGCGGAACGCACCTCCTCGAGTTTACGCGGGGAGGGGGGGAGGGGGTTTAGTTAAATAGCGGGCTTTGTGTAAAACCTATTCTAATGTGCCAACGCCCTCGGAAATTGCGAGCGAGGATTTAGGTCTTTTACTGTGTACGCGGAGGGTAGGAAGATACTTCGGCGTATCTTCGCGAAAAGACGCGGAAAATTCGACGCGCGGATCGCGCGAGCGGGTCTCTTGGTCGATCTGTAAATCTAATTTGCATTTCTTTAGGGATCGAGAAGATCCTTGGAGATTTCGATGCCTCCCTGGTCCTTGGGAACGATTTCGATCGTTAATTTTTGGCGACCACAGGAGACGCGCTCGCCGTCGCGGTCGGACCATGATGTATCATCGTCTATTTCTAAGGTTCGTCATATCTTTGCGTTAAGAGAGAGAAAAATCGACATGTAAAACGCGCGGACGGGTCTTTTGGCCGGAGACGATGTACAAAAGTGGAATTTGTCCGGGTGGATTTTGCAAATTCCCGGAGATTTCGATGCCTCCGTGGTCCCTGGGAAGGGTCGCGGCCATTTTGTCCTGGTTTCGGAGTCGTTCTGGACAATCTCTTCCTGGCCTTGTAACGTTTTGGACCTTGGAAACGATTTTCACTATTCTTTGGGATTTTAATCGTTTTTTTAATGCGCTTAATTGCAATCCCAAGAGACCCGTCCGCCATTACGGTCGGACCATGATGTATCATCCCAATCTTATGGGTTTTTCTCGTCTCGTACATGCGCTATCATAAGAGATAACTAAACGGAGAAACGAAGAATATTTTAAACTATCTATTTTTATTTGCACTCTTGATAATATACGTGTACATATATATAACGATGTCCGTGTGTGTGTGTGAGAGAGAGTGCGAAGGGATGCAGGAGACGATTCGCGGTCACGTCAGAGGTGCAGAGAGACATTGTCATTGTCTTTTATCATTGACATTGGCACTGCGGATTACGACAAATCCCGACCGATCGGTCTCTTATCACGGCGCGTTTAGGCCACGGTCTGATAAGCGCGCTCTCGCGATTCGCGGTTTTTCCTTTGTTCCATCTTCCACGACCGAAAGACGCGAGGGAGCTTTTTCTCTAAGGGAAAAGCTTCCCCGAATTTCCACAAGGATTTCGTTGATCGATTAGGCCCTTTCCTCCCTTCGCTTTATTTATTATTAATTATTTAATATCCCTCCTCGGTATTTTATTGTATGGGCATTCCAAGTAACTCGCGAACTGCTGGGCATTGTTTAAACATCGGGCGCTTGATTTACCGCTTTCGATATGAGAAATTTATTTTTTACGCTTAGGTGTTAATTTTTCAAGAGTCTGCGATCGGGAATTATTTTCGAATTATTATTACGTTTAACGCAAAAGCGGTCGACTGGGGTTCTCATTTACTATAATTGGCGACTTTATAGATAAATTTATATATATACACACATATATATATATATATTCGAGTTTGTGATACTTTATATATACATAAATGTCTATGTATGCGTTTTTTTTTTTTTTTAATTAGCGACTACGGCGTATATTTTTCTATCTCCAGTCATCGACGAAAGACTTCGAGCCACGAATTTGCAATTTATATTGGACTTTCAATTGATAATTTATATACGCGAGATTTCCCTTCTTCCGCGTCTTTCCGCCGTTTATTAATTTCCTTCCCGTGTCTCCTTCGAGGGAATTGACTGATTAGGCTGTTCGTATTTGCTTTTTTTTTTTTTTTTTCGTTTCTTTTTCGTCACCTTCGAATTGGTTTATCAATTGCGTCTCGTTCCATGTGATATCGTCTTACCAAAGATCGGTTTCGAAAACCATTCGATTTCTCTCAGACCGGCGCGAGGAGAAATTGCCAATTGGAAACGCGCCTTTAGTTTTGCAATCCTCCCGATGAGAGAAGACTCCAGCAATATCGGGCCATTTTCGAATTTGACTGAGTTTTCTTATTTTGTCGGCCCTCTCGAATTTCCACCTCGGCGAACGACGGGGGGGTGCGAGAGATAGAGATTTCGAATCTTATCAAGTCGGATGAGAAGGAAAAAGGAAGGGAACGGAAAAGGGAACCGGGGATGTAGAACGAAAGACTACGCAGATTTTATTTTTATTATGTCTTCAAAAAGACTTTAAATGTAATATTTATATCGTGCCATAATTAATATTAACGAGACCTTAAGTGTAAAATTAATTGTTACGAGTGTTCGCGAATTTATCGGAAGGGGGAAATTGCGAAGTGAGGGAAGCACGATTGAAGAGGAAATCTTTCGAAAATTCTCGAGAAAGGGGAGATACGATTAACGATACGATAAGTAAGGTATACGTCGTTTAAGAGCCAACAATGTACGCGTTAATGTAAAATCGTCCTTCTCCGAAACCGCGAATTTTTCGAACAGCTGTTCCAAAAATCACGCCACGAAATGGCCCTCCGAAGATATCCACAAACTCCAGAACTTATTATTTTTTTTTTTTCATTTCCAACCGCGACAAAGTCTCGCCGAAAATTCCTAAAAGGAATGCCTGGATACTCGTACATACGCAATCCCGAAAATCGAGCCTCGAGCGAAGGAAAATGTACGAGAAAAAAGAAATGACTTCCGAAATCTGAAATTAATATCGCAATGTAGAGCACATGCACCCTGGTTATTAATTCCGACAAAATTCCGGAAATTATTCTAACGTGGAATGACATTATCCGATATATATTATCCTTCGCGAAATTCGAGCTCGCCCCGAATCAAAGACCGGCTTTGGGATTTTTCCCAAGGAAAAGCGCCTCCACGTAGAACCACCGCCACTTTTGTACAATATTTCTACAATCTGCGTATCACCGCCGCACGATATACATATAACAATATATTGCCGTTAACCAGGAATCGCGTGATATCGGCTCCGATTCCCGGGGCCGATCCTCGTTATCCTTTTTGTACTTGAGCCTCCTACACATTAAGCGTTTGCGCTCTCCGTATTCTTGTTTACCTGCGA